AAGAAAGAAAGAAAGAAAGAAAGAAAGAAAGAAAGAAAGAAAGAAAGAAAGAAAGAAAGAAAAGAAAGAGAAAGAAGAGAGACTGAGGGATGACTGACTGACACACTGCAGTATACAACGTCCTTTACAATAGCATGGAGCTGTTAAATAAAGCTGGCTAGGAAGGGGCTACAGTAGGAATCACATCTGACCCCATGACAGAGGGGCAATTAAGACTAAAATTATATCAAGCCCCTACCAATTTGATTTGCTGGGTAAGAAATTTCCTGGCCCCTCAGCCAAATCACTGCCCCTTGAATGTGTGAGCACCAGAGGGAGCAGAGCATAACCAGGAGCACCAGCACTACAGACCTGCAGATGTGGTCACAGCCTGTCTCCAAGTCTTTAGGGAAAAACTGCAGATCTTGAGGGACAAATTCTAGAAAAAGAAAATAAATTCTTATGTCATGTATAGCAAATCAGTGGATGATCTCAGCATGAGCTTAAAACAGTATAAATATAGGTCAAACTTTTATTTGTATAATATATGAATACAGCGTAGGCTACTTTCAAAGATTTGATGTATGTGGGTTGCTGACAGGACTCATGCTGCAGGCTTAATTTTCTGCCACCAGGAATTATGCCAGTTAGCTACACAATCTCTTTCAAAATATAAAAAGCTCTTTTCCCTCCTACTCTAAATTTCAGAACTGCACTTGGGTAAAAATTCTCCAAATTCCAAATCTAATTTTTTTGAAGACAGATTTATATCTCTTAACATCCTGACTGATTTATCCTTTAAGTTAAATAGCTTCTCCTCAGCTTTGATATTTACTCCCAAATGTAATTGCAAGTCACCAAGTTTTCTCTCAATTTCCTAATAGCTAAGATGAAGATGCCAGGCTCTTCTAAACTATTCAAAAACCAAATGCTCAAATTCTCTACTAGTTCTATTTTTTAACTTTTCCAATTTAAATTAATCTTTCTTGAAAATGACCAGAAATGTACGCAAAACTCTCAATGAGGGCATACATGCTTGATAAAATGCTTTCACAGTTTTTATGTCTTTATAAAATACCTCATGTAGTGTATTGCAGAACTGGCTCAAGGTGGTTACACGAGGTTGGCCCCACTAGGGCCTTTTTCCTTTTGGCATTTTTTCCTAGGTAAATCAGGAGGAGGGAAATCTCCAGAGGTATATAAATTCTTTGTGTGGTTTTGACCCACCATTATGTTTTCATCACTCCAGTCTTCATGGCAATCTCACTGTTTATCTTTGATAAAAGTCTTGAGCATTGACAATACTTTGGAAAGCTACTAGTGACCCTTTTCAACCTCTTGTAGCTTTGCTCATTGCAGTTTCCCCTTCAAGCAGCTGCTTGCTGCCTTGCCTTTCTGGTTCTAAGTGCCACCATTTCTACCTGTAAATAGTGGCACAGTGAAACAATATTTCATGTTTTACCTAAAATTAGATGGCTGAATCTATGCTTTTTTATCAAATTAGTTATCAAGTCAAAAAAGCTTATAACTTTGTTTGCCAGTCTACATAATATTGCAATTTATTTCACTTTCTATTTCTCTGTGACCTGATTATTCTTTTCTCCAGAGTGTCTTAAAACTTCTCAAAGACAGACCTAAAGTTTCCAAGATTGCCTTCTTTTTCTTACAAATGTACTCCTGCTCCCTAGGAAAGGGATGGGAAAAAAACAATCATCAGGCTACTAAAAATCTTTGCTGACTCATTTGCAATTCCACATCCAAGTTCTTCTGATATTCTGGGGTGGTCATTAAGGCCTCAGATTATTAAATGACAGAAGGCAGGATGCTGCTGTTGCTTGTACAAGCAGAGATCTCAGGTAAAGCCAGTTACCAGGAGTTCCACAGCTGAGCGGCATTCTCTGACCATATATTTGCTCCAGAGTCCTTGCAAAGTTGATGTGAAATAATCTGTCGTGCACTTTTGACCACTTGCCAAAACACAAGGTACTCCATCCTATCATCCTTAAGTAGGTAGCTAGAGCACTACATTTTTGCACAGAAAAGGAAGGACAAAATATTTGGATTACCTTTCATCCAGGCTGAAATGTGTGAGCTCTTTGCAGCTGGAGAGACTTTTGAGCAAAGCTGAAATAGAAGGGATCATTTAAAATTTGCTGGTTGTCAGATTTGATTGGGCCAATTCAATCACTGTCACTAAAAAATCCAGAAACATTTCTAACAAATCAGTTTAAAATTAATGCAAAAGACTAGCTCAGTACAACTAAAGAGAGGACTGAGATGACTGTCCTTCATTATTAAATGATAGCAGCTGTGTCCCACCAGGATCTGAAACACAGAGCAAGAAAGATAAGCTGTGGCCTGTTATCAATTGCAGCATTTACAACATTGTTTATCCTTTTAACATTGCCAAACAGAACAAACCAGCCTGGGGACAAGTAAGACTGCTCTAAGAAAATGTCAACATTACTGTTCACACACACTTCTTAAACACCATAACCATTTTACGTATTCATTTTTCCAAGCAATTTGTTAACAACGTTTGAATTCTAATTTAGCATATGTGTAATCCTTATGGGATGCTCAAAATTACTTCAAGCAACAAACATTAAATGTTCTGACTCAATCTCGAGTCTTTGATTTTCTTTCTAATTAATAAATAAGGACTGTATAACCTTTGTGCAGAATGTGCTGACTTCAAAATACCAGCATGCCGACAAATTATACCACTCATGTCCAGTGCACTGCAAATATAAATCTTCCTTGCCTGCCCAGTAGAAACCAGAACATCTTTTCCCAGCAAATTATCCACATGCTGGGAGTTGGTTTTAACAGAGCAATTCTCTCTCCAGATTGCAAGGCAGGAGGGCTAAGAGCCTAAAATTTAATCTAGCAGAACAATCAACACTTAATGAATCCTATCTAGTCCATATCTAACAAGCACTGTACACAAAATATTTGAGACATCCTATAGCTATGTATTTACTGACAAATATTTAGGTATTATGAACATGAGCTACCAATACCCATACATAGTTATTTACAACCACTGACTCAAACAGTGTGAGCATCTCCTCTTGAAGATACAACAGCTACAGCTGGGTGAAGGAGGTGTACATTCAGTATTTTGGATGGCCTGCAGTAAAGGCAGTAGGACTTTCACTTGTGCCTTGTACTTAAGATGTATTTAACTCCTGGCCCACTAACTATGGGTGAGTGTTCCTGAAATGCTACTTGCTGGATTCTTAGATGAAAAAAGAAGGAAGCAAAATTGTGACAGCCAAATCTGTTCTATTGTATAACAGAATCCATTAGAAATGCCTGGATTGTTTTTTTGGAATATGGGATGAAAACGGTACTTTTAAATGGCTGTTACAAATCGCTGTAAAACTAATTGCAAGTTTGGAAGCTCTCCAGCTTTTTCTCTCTTAATTTTGAGACTACTTTTTATGACCTTCATCTGACTGTTATAAATCTCTGTGCCTAGACTTTAAAAAATTATAAATTTGGTGCTTAAATAAAAATAGTTAATGCTTAAATAAGCATATACTAGCTCTTGTTTAATAGAACTATCTTTTTATTGAAATACAATTAAAATAGATTTTTAGAGGTAGTAAAGATGAAAACATGAGCCAAAGTAGGTTTCAATTAACCAGCTAGGACATTGCATTTTATTTTCATAATTCCTATCTGTTGCAGTAAAATTTTAGTGAAAAATACAATAAAATTGTAAGTTCATTCAAAGAATATACATTGTGGGAAGAGTCATCATAGTTGCTGTGATTGCCTTGGTAGTTCTGGGTTTTTGTCCCCAAACCGAGCAAGCAGGACAGCTGTTATATGGAACAGTAATAAAATACCCATGCTCTGTTGAGGTGTTTCTTCAGGTGCTATCAGTGGCACTGGCACTGCTCTGCCAAGGTATCTGTGTCTCTGGCACACTCAGGGTGAGTTCACAGCAGCCTGAGCTGACTGCAGGAGCCCAAGAGCTGGAAACCACTCCCTACATCCCACCACAGCTGCTCTGAACTGCCTGCTGACCCCAGCATGGGTTGTGGGTTAGGGGTTTTCTTCCCCTTGAATGATGAAATAGAATCTCTCTTTGCCCACCCACAGGCCAGTTCCAGACTGCAGCTCTGGAGGCTTTCAGTGTGGTCGAGTTACCCTACCTGGGAGAGAAACTCAGCATGTTCCTAGTGCTTCCCAGCCACAAAAGAACACCTTTGTCCCAGATTGAGTCTCACCTTTCTGCCAAAACCATAACTCTCTGGGCCAACAGCTTGAAGAGAACAAAGATGGACATTTTTCTGCCTAGGTAAGCAATGTTAGCACACTGGATTCACTACTTTAGCTGTCAGAATTCCATGTGACCAGTGCTGACACAAGCAGTGTGTTAGCAAAATCAAATTACATGCTTTTGGTTTCATTATTCATCACATGATCAGAGATGCCCTAACCCTTTCTTAAACCACAAAAGAGGTGAGCCAGGAATGACAACACTTTCTGGTTATACTCTGTACTGTTTTAAAAACCCCAAGTATTTCAGTTGATCCTACAGCTTTTACTTACAATTTGTTTGGGGTATAAATCCTTTAAGGATCTAAACCAGAGAAATGTTGCTAGACCTTTCCCACACTCATTTTTCTCTTTGTTTAGGGAAGAATAAACATGTAACCTCCTAAAGAAAAAAGACACTATGTTGTCTTTCTTAAACTTGCCAGAGTACTAAAAAAGCATGGGACAAAGAGCTTGGCCCCCCTCCAGCAGCCATAACCATCTTTCCATGCACAAAGCAGGTTTCACTCATCCATTTTCCACTTTAGTCAGTTGTTGTTTTAGCAAACACCTATGCTGGAGGTATTTTCTGTTATCTACTCCAGAGAAATTGCATAGCAGGAGGAATTAGGCACAGAAGGGTTTATGTGACTATATCCATTGTATGGAATAGTATGGAAGGGCTTCATTACACACATCCCCTACAACATATTCATGACATTAACAGAGCACTGAAAACCAGTGTGGACATTTATATTTGTTTTCTTCAAGCTAATTTTTGGGAAATATTTCCAAGGGCCATTTGCTATAACCAAAAATAATATTAGAAAGAGAACACTTTGTGAAAACGCAGAATTCACATGTCAAAAAGACTTAGTAGCAATCTGATTACAACAGAGGGATCCCTTCTGTTAATGGCTTCAGGTGAAAGTGAGCTACTTTTCTGCAAACACACCATCAGACAATGCACTGGGCTCATACAGGAAGACATGGATGAAATGCAAAGGCTTGAAATAAATTGTATCTGTTAATGGTGTTTAATTCTACAAAACTCTACAAATCCTGCATTTAAATAAAGTCTATCTTATTAATTTCAGGTTCAGTATTCAAAGCCTTTTTGACCTAAAGACAGTTCTTTCTGCCTTGGGAGTTAGAGATGCATTTGATCCCATCACTGCTAATTTTAAAGGCATTTCAGGTAAGAGGCTTGACTGAATACAAAATTATCCTTGACCCAACAGTTGCAGATTCTTACATTTGAATGATTTGTTAGACCTGCCTGGCTCTTATGAATTGATTGCACTTCTTTATCTGTGAAACTCTAAAGCACAATTCACACTCAACTGCAATTACATTTTGAGCTGTTTTTCTAGGAAAGAGGAACCTGAAAAGGACAGGTTTGGTTTTGGTCTTGAACTTACTTTTTTCTTGTTTATAAGATTAAAACTGTCAAGAGAGTGTAGGCCTGGGAAAACGGCTATTTATTCAAAAATTCAGGATGCTTTAGTAAAACTTACATTCCTGTTTGTGTTTTCAAATAGTTATTTAACAGTGAGAGGGATGCTGGTCCAACAAGTGTATATTCCAACTCCTGACATTGCAAACAATGCTGGTTTATGCCCAGGCTGTATTGTCTTGCTAATCCAGTAATCAGTATACAAAGTTATATTTTTCCTTTGCTAAAATACTGTTGTAATGGCTAAATTCCTCTGCTCCTTGGGAAATTTATCCCCATTTAATATTAAATGAAAAATAAAGAATCCACATTATTTATTCTTTTTGACTCCTTCCAGCAACAAAATATTTCAACTTCAGTCATTTCTGCTCACAGTAAAGACTTGCGAGTGTAGCTGCCCAGCAAGCAGCTCACATTCTTGTGCATGTGAGTGAATAAATGAAATTGCTCTAATTCAGACAAACGTCCTTTTACAGAAAAGTTGCTTTCCTGGGATGAACCTCACAAGGCACATTACTCATGGAGTTTTTTATGCTGCTCTTAAAATTGAACATAGCAATGTTCCATTGCAATACAGATCTCAGCCTGCACAGAGATGAACATTAAAATAATTTGTTACTGCTCACTGCTGCTTTGCTTATTGCAAACAAATGTTAATATACTGATAAATTACACAAGGATGTATTTTGTAAAGTTAATATCTATTTAAATAAGAGAAATACTTTGGGGAAATTAATTCCATAAACAATATAATTTACCAGCTTCCCTTTGGCTTTTGGCATACAGGATAAGGCTTGTAGAAATATTTGATCCTGCCCTGGCAGGGTTATGAAACAAAGGATATGTTGAGACCCTTTTTAGTTCTAGCCTTACACACCATGTTGTAGCAGTAGGGTTCTATGTGGTCTAAGAGTTATGTAAGGCAGAGTTCACAAGGAAAATATATCTTTTACTTAACCAATAGATAGTTGGGGGAAAAAAAAGGTAAATTTTCATAGGTAAGTTTTCATTTCCTCTTCTGTATGAAGCAGAAGGATAAGCTTAAAAATATTTACTCTCAGACCACATTTAGCAAATAAATGTGTTACTTCATTTCAGACCAGAAATAGCTTTTTTAGACTTGAAAGCTTGTTTTTTCCCCCTGAACAATGTGTAAGATTTATCTATTTTTTAAAATTCTTCCTCTCCTTAGTTTTGTCCTGCTTGATTCCCTCCCAGTTTTTCTGACTAGACAAAATTAGGACAGAAACAGATAAAACTCTTTTAGCATTTCTTTGATTTGACCTACATGTTGGACTTGATCCTTGAATTCAGACAAGAAAAAAAAGAAACTTCTCTACCTTTCCTGCTTTCTGCCTTGTACAGGCAGCTGGAGAAAAGCAGACTTGTAAAACTCTCTTCAGTGTCTTTCTGAAATTAATTATTTTCCAAGATTCATTTTATGTCACTTCCATTGTTTCTTCCTGAAGAACATTTTTTCTACATTTTCCTTTCCAAGGGTTCTTCAGTTCTTTCATTGCCCTCACTCTGTAAAGTTTCTATTCTCACTATGTAACCTTGCCTTCCACCACAAAGTGGTGACCTCTCAAACTAGCAACTCCCATTCAGCATTCAATCCACTCTAACCATATAGTGGGAGAACAGTCAAAGGCTGAAGTACTTAAGTTATGTGATCCTTAGATTCTGCACAAAAAAGGTAAAAGCATTCTAATTATTTTTTTAAATATGTTTGTAATGAAATGCCAAAAATAACTTCTTAATTTTGGGGGTTTTGCAGAGCAAGACAGTCTTTATATTTCAGAAGCTATCCATAAAGCAGAGATTGAAGTAACAGAAGATGGTACAAAGGCATCAGGATCTACAGGTAAATCAAATACTCAGACAAACTTCTCACTTCTAGAGCTTACCACTATAAAATCAACTACTAGTCTTTTATATAAAACAAAACAAACAAGCATGGTAGAATTCACATGTATGCATAACAAACTTTTGTATTTAACACATTTCCATTTTACCTTTGCAATTGCTCATAAGAAACTTTAATTTTTGATGTCCAACTAAGGTGTAATGGCTGAAATGAAAAAAACTTTTCCAGTTCAGGGAAAATTCAGTTTGAGAAAATACACCACTTATTTTTCTGCTGGTTAAGTGTTTGTTCAGATCATAAGAACAAAAAATGAAAAAAGGTTAGTAATATTTTGTCTACAGACCCTGTTATAGGATTTGAGGATGATTTCTTTGATAGCATTAATGGTAATGATGGACAAGTTTTATGCAGACAAGCTTGATTCTTATATACTCTTAAGTGTGACCTTCATGTGCAGTCTGGTAGCTCCTGCTAACAGACCATTTCCACATGAGCAGATGGGACTGGGTGAGTGGGAGACTCAGAGCAAAATCTCAGCCATGGACTACCCAGTCAGTACACACTCATTCACCATTAACCACATCTCACCTTCCTGCTTCCCTGGGCTGTACCAAGGAGAAATGTGCTCCACACCACAAGTGCTGGTGGGTCCTTGGCTGGGGACCAGGGCACTCCATCACTTCTCCTTGCTCCCAGGGAGGAATTCAAGAGGCATGTGGAGAGCATGGCAGTGCATCTCTGTGGTGCCCAAACTGTTGCACATCCCAACATCCCACAGCTGCAATGCCAAAAAGGAACCTGGGCACACCTGAATTGATGTATTCAGTATTCCTCTATAAACAGCCCTGAGTAAGACACACGTGTACATATGGGGGTGTGTAGAGCACATCTGGCATAACTAAGTTAAAACTGTACAGCTCTGCAGAAAGGTTAACTTTTGCAACAGTTTTAATCTCTATCAGAGCAGTAATACTTTTAATAACTTTGTGGTAAGGCCCATACAAAAGAAATATTTTTAGGTGACTTCAGTTACACATGAAAAACTAAGAGAAAAATACCTTTATCCCCTTGAAACCAATGCTAAAACATCCCTTAACTCCTGTCAGACCAAGCTGACAAGCAGATTTTAAAAACTGCAATTACATTTATTGTTTACTTTAAAAGCTCTGGATCTAGTCACATGATGACTTGAAGCTAGGCCTTTTTTTTTTTTTTCAAGCACCAAAATAGTGCCTTCTTAAACTAGTTTTATTGTGTCGTAAATGAATTTTCAAACTAGTTCCATTGTTTTAACTGTTCAAAAATAATCTAGAGCTGGTGGGTTTAGTGGTAGAGTTTTTGACAAGGTATTCTTAATACTATATAGCTAAAAGGAAGAATTTATTTAAACAAGATGTATTTTAATAATAGCTGAGCCATCATAAGTCTTAAAAACTCTTTATTTAATTGAATAATTAACCCACAACAGAGAGGAAAGACAGTCATAAACTGAGTTGAGGATACTTGAGATTTTGTTGAGAGTTCTGACAAGAGAAATTCCAGGATGATGTAGGTATTTCTCTGCTGCTTGCCTCCCAATTGGATAAGGAACTACATTTGTGCCTTGCTTATCTTTTTCACCAGAAGAGTATAGCTAGGAACTGGTTAACAGGTAAGGGAATAGGTACGACTTCAGCAGAGTTAGGAAGGTGATGACAACACAAATCACCTCTGAAATCCAATGCCAGGCAGAACACCATTCAGCATTGAAATATGCACGAATCACCTGCATGTAGTCTCACAACTCCTCACATGTTAATTTTGCCAGACTGATATCACTTAGATAAAATTGTTGTTTTAGTCTTAAAGCAGAGGAGCAACTCAAAAGTCAAGGTACTAGCCAGTGCTTGAGGGCACTGTATGGAAGATGGAAAGAAAAAATATACATTTTACTGATGTTTTCTTTGTTGCATTACAGCAATGGTCTTACTGAAAAGATCTCGAACACCTATTTTCAAAGCAGACCGACCTTTTATATTCTTCCTGAGACAAGCTAATACAGGTATGCATGCTCTGCCTTTCAGGAGCAGAATCCCAGCTACACAGCACTGAAATCAATACAAATAGCATGCCATTCCTCAGTCCAGGAAACTTCAAACAACTATAGAAACAGTGGGATTGGGGTTTTAAAGCATAGATTTTCATTTCCTTAAAAAGAATGTATAACAGTCATAGAAGTCTAGGAAGCCAGATTAGCCTCTTCTTTGGACAGGCAGTATGTGCTAAAAAAATTTCCATCAAAACTATAGGCACTAGAGAGATCTCACAGATGCTGAACATTCCAGCATCAGAAATTGATCTCTACAGAGCAATTCAAGTTACAAACAGGCTGGACCAGCTGGATTAACATCTGAAGTAGTTAAAATAGAAACCTTTCCCTATAAAGGAAACTTATACTGATAGCAAACAGACTTCTGCCAAAAAATGTCTTTGCAACTGTTAACTCTTTTCTTGCAAATGACCTCCCCTAGCCCCCGGACAAAAAACCACCCAAAAACCCAAACAGAACTGCAGAGCACATCTTAGAGTGAAGCATCACAGTGCTCCTTTAGCTTCGGTAGTGGATTATGAGTCTCCTTTCAGACATCCAATCACATTAAGTTACTCCAGAATGTCTGCTAAAATAAAATACCCCTTAGCTTGTTGGCAATAATAAAGAACTGCATTATTCAGCCATTTAGCAGGCATTTGCTACTCTAAAGCATCAGGCCAATATCCAACAACTCTTATCATTCCTAACAATGCAGTAATTTTGCACCTGAAGTATTTTCCCACAAATCGTTCAAACCACCACATTTCTCTCCTAACTGGGGTCACAGCCATTTAGACCTTCAAGGAACATACAGATATTTATAGGGCTCAGTAAAACACTGGGGCCTAGCACAAAGACAGAAATAATTCCCCTTATCTGCTTCCAAGCAACACACACTGTTCTCTTAGTCAGTGAATACCTGTGTAACATTTTGTTTTAAAAACCCGTATCATGAATTTTGACCACAGCGCAAGCACCTAAAGAGAAAATTACTGCCTTGGTTGGAATTTTGTTTTAAATATGCTTTGGCAATCATTACCAGTCAATGAATAGAAGTATTTTACTTGGCAAATACAGAATTTTAGAATAAAAAGGCATTAATAAGCTCACCTGTGAAACATGAGCCACAGACTCTTCAGGATTAAGAACAAACTTACTTTGGTGAATAAAATGGTCAGTTTACAATATATATATAAATTATATAAAGAGGAAGGAAATCAGACTGTAAAACAGGATTTTTATGTGAAACATAAACTACATACCTTCCAATCAACTCAAAATCAAAAATAATTTCTGTAATTCAAGCTTTTTAACGCAAAAAGTGAAAACATTCAGTCATTTCACTTGCTCAGACTTACTAATTCAGGTTTTTGAGGTACGGAAAACTTGAACAGATAAACAAGATCTATTTTTCATCCACCTGTCTAAAAGTGCTTAAAGCTATGCCCATAAAGTTCTTAATGAATCTTTACGTAGACCAAAAGTATTCATTGCATCAATTCTCTAGTAATAGGCGAAATATGTTTTTCAATACTTAAAATAGCACAGTTCTGCTCAAAATAACTGAAAACTTTTAGAGTTTTTTAATCTGAATTTCAGGTTTAAGCCCATTCTCTTTGAAGGACAAGCAAGGTAACATTACAAATAACCAACCAAACCAGTCAACCTGAGGCAGTCATTTCATTCTCTTCTGTAACTAAAATATGAACACTAAGAACTTAGGTTCTGTTTTGCTCAGTTTAGGTTTCAGATTTTAGCAGGTTCCTGGTTTGGGTTACCAGTTATTTGGAAAGGTGATTTTAATACAGAAATGTTTAGATTATTTTAAGACAAGCATGCAATTGCAGTCAGTTTTTCCATACAGTGAACAATTCTATGATCTGCTAGCTCCATGCCTAACTTATGTATTTAAACTGTACTGCACCTAGAAAATGCGGCCCCAAAGTGAAATAATGTTAATATTGTTTTCATTTACAGGTTCAGTACTTTTTATAGGAAGAGTTACAAATCCTTCATCATAAGCACTAAGTGCATATACTGACTTCTGCTCCTCCTGTGATGAACTTTCCTCCAATGAAATTAAAGACTACAATGTATGTATTTATTAAAACACAGTTTTAAGCACATCACTTTTCCAAGAATCACCACTACCTTATTGCATTGTAGACACTGTTGAAACTTAGAGCTGTCTAGGAATCATCAGTACCACAACTACAGCAAAGACAGTGTCCAAATAAACATCTGCAAAAAAATGGAACAGGTTTAGCCTCCTAAATGTTTAACAACATGAGCCAACAGCTTCTCTTCAACTTTATCATGGCTAAACTCAGCTTGACTGTTGCTGACTATGTAGGTGATTTGAGTGAAAACAACCCACAAGAAAGCTTTGTGATGTTATTTTTCAAGCACAATTTCATTTCCTTGTCCTGAAGTCCAAAGCTTAAGAATAGAACTAAAATTCAGCCTGACCTCAGACAGTTATAACCCAGCTGATATAGAAGGTAACAAGCAAGCAGCGAAATGATGTGAAAAGAAAATGAAGTTGAAAGGCATTTTCAAAACTGACACAGAATCAGAGAATCATTAAGGTTGGAAAACATCTCTTAGATCATAGTCTGCCCATTAACTCAGCACTGCCACATCCCCCACTAAACCAAGTCCCTAAACACCACACCTACACACTTTTTGAATGCTTCCAGGGATGGTGATTCTACCATGTGACAGGGGCAGCCTGCTCTTGACAAAGCAGGTAAGAAGCAGAAATACCCACTCAGTGACCAAACAAATAGTGCTAAAAGAGACAGCAGCACTATCTCCACTGCCTTTGAAGCAAACACAACATAGAACAGACATTACAGAAAAATACTGAATGGGACTCCTGGCATCATGAAAAATGGGAGCTGGTTTTCAGCATCCTGACAGAAGCTGGGATATGGCAAGCGTCCAGCAACTCATGGCACAAGCATCAGAAACCCAGGTCCATAAAGATTTTGGGGGGAGACAGCAAACCACTACGCATCAGAGAGGACTGTTTTAATCAGCTCCCACTGAATCAAACAAAGCCTTGCAGATAACCCAGAGCATCCAGCACAGCTGAATGATGTGGCCAGTAAAGCAACCAATGATATTTTGTGTCCAGGCAGCAGCACTCTGTGGCTGTTCCCACACTTGTAAACCCGTAAAATCCTCTGACACAGAAAACCTCTGTGCAGCCTTCCTCAAAGGCTACTGACCCCTGCTTACTGCATTGTATCCCTCAATAAAACCACAGGGTTTGTCATGGCTACAGATGTGCTTACAAAACATCACTTTGTTATGCTGGCCACCAAAATGCAAAGTACACAAGATATCCTACTGTAGCTGCAATTCAGCATTAGCTCTTTTTCCCTCATTCTGATTAACAGCAGAACATCCAGTGATACAAACCCACTGTTCAGTGTCTAACACAGATACCAGAACACAAGCTCTGGAAAGGGAAGGCAAAACAAATAATTTTGATAAAAACTATACTCAAACCTACACAAAGATTAAAATAGAGATTTTATTGATGGAGTAACAAAAGTGCTTTTCTTAAATATTTTTCAAAATACATTTATACAGCTTACAATAATATATCCAAAATAACTGTATATACAAAACATTACCTTGTTTAATGTATGTGCTTTTTACTTTTTGAAAATTACAAAGCAACTTTTTGGCAAAGTTCAACCTTAAGAGGTGATAGTTTTGAAGGTAAGATTAAGAAAATAGAACCTGAGGGCAAGTGACACTTATGTCCATGACAAGCAAGAAGTTCTCAATTTAGTTAAATAAAAATGTTTTTGTAGTATATTTCACATTACAAAAATAACAGAAGTGAAGAAAAAAAAAAGGATGATTGATACTTCTCATCACTTTATTGAGCAGCTTCTCATTCTTTCAGGTACAGGAACTTGAGATAAGAGTGCATGTCAAAAATGAATGCAAGTAAGAACAGCAGTGCCCTGCTGTGGCTCTCTCATGTGCAGTTTCTTAGCTGCTCTTGATATGGTTGACCTGATTGGATCTGCGATGGATTTCTTCCAGAAAACTCTCAAGCTGTTCTATCAGCATTCGTTTTTTAAACCTGGATTTAAAAGAAAGCATTACAATGGATGCACAGAGTAATACACAAAACATCATTGACAAAATTTTAACTGAACTCTGGAACCTTTAGTTATTAGTTCAGGAGCAGTGCATGATAAGGTATACACATACCTCATTTGTACACATACACTGTCTCCCAACATTCTGGTAAACCACTAACTTGCTTTTCCATTTGCTGAATACAAAACTACAAGTGTTTATTATAGCTGAACATCACTCAGCTCTCAGAAATCCAGGAAAAAGACAGTTAAGAGTTTGTTGCTTCCAGAAGTGAAGTTCTGAAGCACAGAAATAAAATATACATCAAAAGAACTGTAATCCTAAAGCTGGCAAACAGCTTTTAGGGATTATTTGCATGCCTTCATGATGCATTCACCCAAGTTAACAAAGCTGGTACTGGTGGAGGAACAGCCATTACACAAATCTGCAAAGCAGATTTCCTGACAAACAACACAAGTTAAAACTTTGAGAAAGAAATTAAAGGAAAATACAGGCATCCAAACCCCATACCTCTGGAGTCTCTGCAGCTCTATTCCATATCAGTTGTATAGATTTGATCAGCACACCATTCTGTCACCTCTGCTTACACCCCTACCTCAGGAAGTACAACTCCTAGCTGGTCCCAGCCAAACCCTCCCCCTTGCAACATTTCTGCACTTCTGAGAAGCCACTTCTTACCAATGCTTTGGTAGCCATATGTGTGTTCAAAGACAAGCAGCAATGACAATATTTTGAACTATATCCCAAGTTCAGTCCTGTGACTTCGCTAAACCCCAGCAGAAGCCTCTAGTTCCAGTCAGGCATCCTGGTCCATGCCCTTGGCTCACAGAGACATGGTACCCCTCTCCTAATTTCCAGATCACAAGCCTCTCATAATCCCTGATGCATCCAAGAGCAAAACTCAACCATTGCCAAATTGTGTAGAATTGTCAACTAAAGATAGCTGGAATAAAGAGACTGTGCAAGAGATATGAGAGCCACAGGTGATCTTAAAAGCCTAATTTTACAGCACAAAAATTCCAGCCCCACTAAGGGCTGCCACAAACTCCAAGAGCAATAGTATTGTTATGGTGTGCTGTGACAGTGAGGAAGAATGCATAATTTGCAACATATAGAACAACTCTGACAGGCAATGTAACAATCATGCAAAAGGAAGCATGGTTGCTAAAGGAAGAGCATGATCTACATAAATTTACATGCTCCACCAAGCTGGCAATAGAAGGCTAGAGGATCTGTAGCAATGTCCAACATTCAGCATACCTTGAGAGGCATGGTTTTCTCCTAAAATTATTTTATTTTTAATCATGAAATTTGCTTAATGCCACAGGAAAATAGTTGACCACTACAAAACTTATTAGAGAATAAGAAGCAGCTATACTTTGAGGTTTCCGAAGTAAGCCTCAAAGTTCTGGTTATATCTACAATCCCTGCAAGATCCTGGAATTACTTATTCCCTGCAACTCAAACACTATTGGTTCTAATACATTTCTCCTTTTTTCCTCTCAGTAAGTATGTAGAAAGCTAAGTATGGACAGTCTAAAGATACTGTAAGGAACAGTTTCTACCTGGATGAAAAACACAGGGTTTAAATCCTTATCAAGTCACTCTTCTTCAGAGAAAAGCCACCTCCATTTCCAAAGTCTCAGACTGGACTACGCTATCTCTGAATGAAGTATGCTGAAGAGTAGAGACATATCTTTATGAGCATACTTGAATTTAACAACTATTTTTAGGACAAGATTTTGAGCTGATGCTGTTTCTGAAAGCCTAATTCCAAGTAACTGGTAGCTCCATTACATTTTCAAATTAGCAGTACACTCACCTGAACTTTAAAAAAATAATTCCAATTAAAGTTACCTTCTCTTTCTACACCATTGTCCATCTACATTTGCAGGGATTTGGCAGTTACATTTGCTAACATCTCTAAGGCCAAATCCAAGGGAAAAAGGTAAGCTTTTACAAACATCACCTCAAGAAGCTTATGCATTTCTGCTCTTTCATGGGGAATTATTTACTTGCAGTGCAAAGCATGGTTTCAAACAATTGTGTGATTGTCCAGCAATTATACATGGCACAACATAGTGCAGTTTTTTAAGAATAATACAATCCTGTTACCTACCTTGAAGCTTCTTTTATAACATTCTGTAAAAATATCAGCCGGGTTTGTAAGCTCCCTTGCACATGCTTCAGCAAAAAGAAGATTCTTTCATATTCTTAAATGTCAAGAGAACAGAAACATCAGTTATTTAAAAGATGCCTATACAGATATCTGTTGTAATAGATCTGAGTGAAATGCAATATCCAATGTTTGTAAACTTTTAAGCTGTATCTCCTATCAACTGGAGCAAGAACATCTTATTTAATGAGAATAAATATTAAAAAATACATGATATTGCACCTTAGGATATTACTAACACCTATCAAGTTAATTCTAGTATTGATATAAAAAACATGACTTTCACGAACACTGCTTAAGTATAGCAATGTTTTAATGACTCCTACAGTAAGTTTTTAGCAGAGGTTTTAAAACAAATCTTTTCAGCTTGAAATTTAATTTTGCTTCAGTCTCATGGTCCAGTACACTTCTAAAATAGCAATTTAATGTGAATTCTTTGTTTAACTTTCATGCCAATTATCTGAAAGAAATTCAGTATACTTACTCCTTCCCGGTTTTCGGATCTCTTTCATAATTTGTGCTCTTAGCTCTATATTAATCTCTCTGGAACTCCTGCAGTGCACTGGCTTTTTCCCTTTGCTAGGTGAAGACATTGTCAAGTTCTCTTCTGGACTTTGCTCTTTACTACCTGATTCCTCGTGATTCTCCAAAAACCCATCAGCATTCAAATTATTCCCTAAATGTTCATGTCCTACATCTTCTGTAGGAGCTGTTGGTCGATCCAAGGAATTGAATGGTGAAGAGGACAGTGAAAAGTCTGAATCCACAGCATTTGGGAAAACATCTGATGAAAGGGAGTCTGTACTGTGATTCTCAATGGCATCATCAACTCCAACTTCATTATGTGTTTCTGATGCTGAAAAAACAAAAATTACACTTGCTAGGTTCAAATTCCTTATTTCATACAAGTCAATGAACCAGATCAGCATTAGACTCTTAAAACTATGCTCCAGCTCACAGAGTCCACTGTACATGCCAGGTATAAGAAAGCTTGTTTGTGGATTATAACACTGAGCCTGTCACTATCTCCTGGCAATTAATGACTTCAAAAAAAATCACAGGTATATTATTTGTATAAAAAAGGAAATTACTATGTGGACTAACAACAAAGAAAAACCACCTGTAAACAATGATTTTATGACATGGTGTCTTTCTCCCTTTAAATCAAACAAACCTAATTTATTTTAGTACTAACCAGTGAATAAGAGTTATACAGCTCCTCAGCTTCATACTCAGGAAGTAATTTCACTGCTCAAGAGCAAGATTCAAACTAACTTCATGCTGTGATACTTCTGGAGTATCTAAATTTCCAGGCAAAGGAAGAAAACTCTTCTAATTGTCTACACTGTCTCCTCAGGAGAGAGGAAATACATTGTTTATACTTAGAAGTTATATGGAAAACTTCCATCCAAAGGACTATATGAACTCCGTAATTAGCCCCAGACACACACTTAAGTACTTTTTTTTCAAGAGGGGGGGATAAAATTGCCATATTTCACAAATTAACCAGCAGGTGTTTTTACACAAAAGTTTTTTCAGATAAATTAAAAACAAACTTTAAAGACTTGAAGATTCACTTACTTTTGTGAATAGCAATGGGTTTAATAAGGTCAGGCTGTGCTTGTGCAATTGGTGTAGGGGGCCCTTTTCCTCCAATGTGGTTATTGACAACTGGAAGAGTTGGTGGTCGCCCTCTGAGCAGGGGGGACATACAACGTCGTCTTTTTGGAATCCCTTGCATATTTGGTTCTCCAGGTCTTTTATGTTTATTCTGAGGTCCTGATACGAATTCATCTGCTTCATCTATCATCATTCCCTGAAATTAATTTAATGGGAAGAATTCTTAAGCTTCACACCAAAACCATGTAACATAAGGTACAATAAATGCTCTGACATTACAATAATGTTCAGCATATGTATGAGTTACATACAATATACCATTATGTTTGGAATTCCAAACTGTCAATCAAGACCAGATAAATATGCTTAAGGCCCTTATCCAGCAGTCTGACAAGTAAGGTGGCAGAGTGGGCCATCAAACTGCTTTTTCAGTAGTTGCAAAAGAGACTCACATATTTAATACAAGACCTCTAAATGTCACTGGCAGTTTGGTCAATTCCAAGAGATTTGGATAAAAGAGACAGCCAAGACTCTCCACTTTGAGACAAATATTTCAGTTATAATACAATTTAGAAACATAATACTGGTGTTCCAATAAAGGCTGCCCTCCATAAGATACTACTGATCAAAGAAAAACTGAGACAGTTTGCAGCCATTTCTTTTACAAGTATTTGAAAGGGTTTCTCCAACAGACTACTCAATGAACAATGTAGGCAGTAACAGACACACAAAAGCACATTTTTAAAAAAGCTTTACAGAAATGTCACCTTTTTGTCCAATTTGAATGGATTGCCAAATGTATGAAGCCTTCGTGGTTGATCAGGATCAAGTTCACGGAGTGGAGAAGGTATTTGTTTTAGATACTCCTGGTAGTTTCCCATTTGTGCTATAGGTACACTGTGAACTTGATCTATTATAACAGAGGAGTTAATTAATACACAGTACTGCTCACATTATGAGAATTTAGTCTATATCCATTTCATATCTCTAGTGTTCAGACTTATCATATGCATTAACATAACAGCTGTACAAAGCTCACCATTTTTCTTGCCTAACTGGT